AATGCTTATGATCATCTGTGACTTCAGAGTGTCATAATTATTTTTCTGGTGGAGGGTCTTGCCTTGATGGCTGTCAACTGATAACGGTGGTGGTTGCTGAAGGTTGGGTTAGGTGTGGAAATGTCTAAAAAATAAATTAACAGTGAAGCTTGAAAAAAAAAAAAAGAAATGCACTTAAAAAAAAAGGCAAACAGGGTCTGGGCTCGGTGGCTCAACCTGTAATCCCAGCACTTTGGGAGGCCAAGGTGAGTGGATTGCCTGAGCTCACGGATTCAAGACCAGCCCAGGCAACTTGGCGAGACCTCATCTCTACAATAATTCAAAAAACTAGCCGGGTGTGGTAGCGCGAGCCTGTAGTTCTGGCTACTTGGAAGGCTGAGGCAGAAGGATTGCCAGAGCCCAGGTTGAGGATGTGGTGGCCGGGAGCATGTCACTGCACTCCAGTCTGGGCGACAGAATGAGATTTCAATCCCCCCAGAAGAAAGAAAAATAGTGAAAGGGAGGAAAAAGATATGCTATATCAATAATCAAAGAAAGCTAGATTGGCTATATTAATATCAGACATAGTAAATTTCAAGGCAAAGTATATTATCAGAAATAAATATTTCATAATGACATATGGACCAAATAATCAACACACACTTTATGTACCTAATAACAGAGTTTCAATATACATTAAGCAAAAACAAATAAAATATCAGGGAGAAATACACCAATCCACAATTAGAGGATGATCTCTAGAAAATCTCCATATCTAGAAATTAAACAACAAATATCTAAATAACAAATGATTCAAAGAAGAAATAAAAATAGACATTCGAAAGTACTTCAAACTAAATGAAAACTTATTAAAATATGTGGATGAGGCCAGGCTCGGTGGCTCAGCCTGTAATTCCAGCACTTTGGGAGGCTGAGGCGAGTGGATTGCCTGAGCCAGTGGGTTCGAGACCCACCCAGGCAACTTGGCGACATTTCCTCTCTACAATAAATCAAAAACTAGCCGGACGTGGTAGCGCGCACCTGTAGTTCCGGCTACTTGGAAGGCTGAGATGGAAGGATTGCGGGAGTCCAGCAGGTCGAGGCTGTGGTGGCCGGGACTGTCCCACTGAACTCCAGTCTGGGAGACAGAGTAAGACTCCAACTCAAAAAAAAAAAAAAAAATCTGGGATGAAGCTAAATAAGTATTTAGAAATATACAGCACTAAGTATGTATAGTAGAAAAAAGTGACAAAGCAATGAATTAATCTTCTAATTTAAGAAGGAAACCAAAGGGATGAGGAGAGGTGGGATGGAGAGGAGTAAGGAGAAGAAGAATAACCACAATGAAATACAAAGAAGCAGAAAAAGAGAAAATAAAAAGAACAGAAGTAAAAATCAACCTGGGCTTAGGCTTCCCAGAAAAAGTGCTAGAAGTCAATGAATCAATGTCTACAAAGTATTTTGTTGTGCAAAATATTATACTAAAAAAGTTGTTATTTGAGTCCTTCTTACTAAAAAAAAAGTTGATGACAAAATCCAGTAAATTGAGAGATAATCAAAATAAACAATAAAGAAATGGGAAAACTGTGATAAAGCAGTTGGTGATAAGCATTTAATTCATTTAAATATAGAATTAAGACTATAAGAATTACAGATGGGAGGCCGAGGTACGAGGATTGCCTGAGTTCACAGGTTCGAGATCAGCCTGGACAACTTGGCAATAAATAAAAAAGTTAGCCAGGCATGGTGGCACATGCCTGTAGTTCCAGCTACTTGGAAGGCTGAGGCAGAAGGATCACCTGAACCCAGCAGGTTGAGGCTGCGGTGGTCGTGTGCATGCCACTGCATTCCAGCCTGGGTGACAGAGTAAGACTGTGACTCCAAAAAAAAAAAAGAATTATGGTTATAGAACAAAATACAAATGTTTAAACATTGGTAATGTTAAGAAACAAAATGTGAAAGTGTAACTACTAAAATTCAAGAGAAAGGATGAAATATTGCTAATTTTCTCATTTTTCAGAGTAAATTAATACAGCTTAACAGGAAACATATAGTTTAGAAAAATCAACAGCTCCAATATCCTAATCTTTTTCATAAGGCTTTCTTAAATATCATAGTCTTAGAGATCTAATTTAGGAAAATGTTATTTCTTGAGAAGAAACAGATATATCCCAATCTGATTCTAAGGTGAGGAGTACATGAGATTTATGTTTTTAAAAACATAACTAGCTAGTCAATATAACCAGTAGTCCTTAATTATCTGCTAACTGGGATCTGAGAATTTGGCTTAAAGATGGAAAAACTGAATTTACATGGCATAGAATGGGACACTTATTATGAAAGGTTAAAAATTTTTTTTAAAAGATCTCAATGCTTTATTTAAACCAACAGAGGATGCTGGTATATCCATATTCAATTTCAGGTTTTAATCAAGAAAGTTTCTGATGGGAACTCATTGAACACATTATATGGTGAAGAAAATGACCAAGTTTTGAATTTGCTTAGTGTTCATTCACCATTGCCAGTTTATGGAACAGTGGGAAGAAACAGAGCTGAGTATGATGATCTAGTATATTTTAAGAAATGCAGACAGATGTCTTAATTCAGAAATCTGTCGAATAGATAAACTGAGTTATTTGCTTAGATCAAGAACATTTGAGAATTAAAAAGCTCTCTGAATGCTAACTAGTTAATCCTCATTAGTTTATGATGACGATGTAAGGAAACTGATGACACCACAGAACCTGAAAGTATAGGGCAGCCCATTTAATTTAATTTATGGTTTGAACATATGCTAAGACAAGACAAGGCTAGACTACATTTTATTTCTGAATGTTCTGAACTCAAAGGGAATGAAAGATTTTTAAAATTGCAAAATGTTTGCAAAATGAGGCACAGTGGCTTACCCCTGTAACACTAGCACTTTGTGAGGCCGAGGCAGGAGGAATGTTTGAGCCTAGGAGCTTGAGACCAGCCTAGGCAACATAGTGAGACCTCATCTCTACAAAAAATTATAAAATTAGCTGTACGTGGTGGCACACATCTGTAGTCCCAGCTACTTGGGCAACTAGGATGGAAGGATGCCTGAGTTCAGGAGGTCGAGGCTACTGTAAGCCATGATCATGCCACTTCAGCTTGGGTGACAGAGTGAGACCCAGACTCAAAAAAACAAAAATACTATAGAATGTCTTTGCAGAAATAACATTACATTTCAGAAGGGAGCTCACAGATTTTAATGAATAAGAACTCGGCTCTTAGTTATTAGCCAAATAATTATCTGTTCAGTGCCCACCAAGAATGTACAATATCCCAAGTATTCATGAGTCTACTATTTTCAGAACTATTTTGGAACAAGTCAAACTATAAGCAGAGTACAGATTTACCAAGCAAAGTAAAAAAGCATTATTTTTATGAAACTGTTGAAACAGAAGCTAAGAGCTAACAGTTACCATAAGAGATATCAACTGAAATCCATTTTGTTATTTCCTTGGTTGAACATACCACCCAAGTCTCAAAAATAATCCCATCTGCCTTATTAATTTGACCAAAACTAGATCACTTTACACCTTACAAAACTGCACATTAGTATAAATACTTAATACTATTATAAAAACTCCATTAACTCAAATTTAGCTAGTTAGGTTATAGTACAAAATTGTTAAAACTATGAGTTGTTTGCAAGTTGGCTCATAATACAGAATTGAACTACTATACATTGAAATTTAGAGAACTGCAATTGTCAAGTTAAATATACTTTTTCATCAGAATATACTGTCTTATTTCATAGTCAATGAAAATAATATATATCATGCCAAACTTTAAACCATGTACTCTTTGAAAATCACTCTCAAATGAAAGATGGTTTGAAATAGTACATAAATCCCCCCTAAAGAATCACACTACAAAAACACATTACCAAGATTTGAAAAATGAGACCATTTTGAGTAATAAAATAGAAATAATAAAGAGGAAAAAAAATCTTTTAATTCTTAATATGTTTTTCTCAAATGCTGGCAGAAGAGATAACATGACTTTCCATTACATAATCTTCTCAATGTAAGCATTTATTTGACAGTTATAAAGGGATAGGATTTGGCATACAGAAGAATCAATAACAATGTTGTAAAGCCTACAGCAGTGCACATAAACATGCTGTAGTAGACATTAACATTAGGTTGAAAGAAATAATTATATTTTCAATAAACATGTTCCTACTGGATAATCAATTTTTTACACGTCTCACCAGCTGTTTCACACAGCTCAGGTAGTGAAATGGCAGCAGCTGTTATACCAAAACCATGTATTATATGCATATGAGATGCTTTTAATTTTTCATAGGTATCTACTTATTTGTGAGCAACCACATTTCACACATATTAAATAAAAACAAGTTAATCACAGGGTGATTAATTCAGAAGAATTTTTAGTACAGTCCTATTTTAGAAATGAATTCTTAACCAATTATTTTTATGTCAGAAGACATAATAATTCAAATTACACGCTGCCCTTATTTCCAGATTTAAGAGATTTGTCATGATCAATGTTTTTGAAATATTAAATTAAAAGGTGTCATAGTAATTACTATGGAATAAATAGCAATTAAGATTTCTTTTAGGCAAAAAAGCTCAAACTATTTGCAATGAATATTTATACTACTACTATTTTTCTACACAATTCATGTGCCATTCACAAAAAATTGACTAAAAATATAAAATGCTAAGTTTGCAGAATTATTTCAAAATAGATTAAGAAACTGACTTGGTACAGAAGTGAGTTGAGAAGCATCTATGTATAATGTATACCAAAAAAAGATAGATGTGAAGGTAAAATACAAATCATGTTACCCATAGAAAGATCAGATTTCTCTTTAGTATTTATGAGTGAATCTAATGTATGCTTTGAGATGGTAAATAATTTGCAGAATAAGTAAAAGACAATTATCTTAAAATATATATCAGCCAACAACTATAATCTATCGTGTTAATATGTGCCAGGTTAATATGTATTAGGTAAATACTTACTGCTATATAACACACTCTTGCTTTTTTTACCAGCATCCAGTTTTTTTCCAAATCAAGATGTTTTTCCTTCTTATAACAATTGGCAGCAGCAAGATTAGCTACAAGGGACCTAAAACAACCAAAGAAATAGCAAGTAGTCTTTACTCACACTATAACCCAACTTGGCATGTATTTCTATACAGTTAACTATGAATATTTTTTCAAAGTCTTTGATTTATAACATTTTAATTAATTCTTCAAAACAGATGTTACTGATTTTTCAAATAAATATAAATAATATTAATTTTGTTTGGAGAACTTTTTGAAACTTCTATGTTGACTCTGAGGTAAACAGACATGTTAATACTTGTTTAAACATCACCAGGTATTTTGAGAAACTGGCATTTAAGTATCCTTTTGATACTAAAATAAGACCTACTTTTTATATTTTAGTAGTTCAAAATGTAGTTAAGAAAAAAAGCTACTTAGATATTATGTAAAAAGAAATCTATGCAACTCAAAACATTACGTTTATAGTGGAAAAATATCTTTAGAAAAATAAGCATCAATATACTATAATTGACTACTTAATCTAATGCTTTAAAAGTCAAATATGGAATTAATTTCACAAAACACACATATAAATGTAGGCCATATTCCTATGAGGAATTAATTTGCAAACCATTACATTTTAAGGACTGGAATCAATTAGAATTGGTTTCTATAGCTGAACAGTCCCTGGGCTGGTCTAGTTTTACAGCTGAAAATTTTAAGTATACTACTGCATTTTAAAGCTTGCTAAGAGTGCCAACTAGATCATTTAATTATAGCCCAACAATTAAACTTAATGAAATAAAATAATTATTTACATTGAATATAAATAAATAAAAATTCTTTTCTTTCTCATTCAGGCCTAGAATTTATAAAATTTTTATCTTTTTCTAAGTAAATAGTAACAGTTATGGCTTATAAAAATCATCTCATCATTTGAGACTTTGATAATATGTTCAGTTCCTTTGTTTAAAAGAAAAAAAAGGAAATTCAGTTTTCTTTCAAAACATATTTCTGTCAGGTACGGGGGCTCACGCCTGTAATCCCAGCACTTTGGGAGGTGGAGGTGAGAGGATTTCCTGAGCCCACAGGTTCGAGACCAGCCTTGACAACTTGGTGAGACCTCATCTCCATGATAAATCAAAAAATTAGCCAGGCATGGTGGTGTGCACCTGTAATTCCAGCTACTTAGATGGCTGAGGTGGAAGAATCCCCTGAGTCCAGCAGGTTGAGGCTGCAGTGGCTGTAAGTGTGCCACTGCACTCCTGCCTGGGCAACAGAGTGAGACTCCAACTCAGGAAAAAAAAAAAAAAGAAAGAAATATCTCCAAGTAGCTACCAAAGAATAAACATAACCAATTCATTGAAAGCCCTGAGAGACATAGTTCAAGTTTATATGAAGAATTTCCTAATAAGAAAAGTTGCGTATATATATACTTGGTTGCTTTTGGAGTGAAGATGTTTAATATGGATAAATGACCATATGCTACAAATGATTAGATGACCTAAATCATGACACAATGTAATATAATATTTTATATATGTAAAATATACATACACATACATATTATAATCTTCCAATCTCAGGATACAGTGAAAAGAATGTTCTTTCTAATCCAAGATTGACAAACAAAGTAGCTATAAGACATTGAGTAAAATATTTTCCTTTTCTGATCCTATTTATGAAAAGTAGAGACTGGACTAAATAATATCAAACTTTCATTCCATTATGTCTCATACTTCAAAAGCATGTCCTACAAAAGTAAATTCAGAAACAAAAAAGGATATAAGGAAAAACATTAAAAGTAATTATAAATATAAAGTCTAAATTCCAAATTCATATTGGAACTCAGATTCTAGCCAATTAGAACACGGTTTCCCATGGAATTACACTGACCTGTTGTCATCAGTGATGCACGCAGCACAAGTTCCTGTTGGTTGCTCATTCTGTTCATAGTAATGAGCATCCACATGGGCTTCAGCAGCTTTTCTCTTCAGGATCTCCCCAAATTTATCTATCCCAATGCATCCAAAAAACGTTGCTGCTTTATGTGGCTGCTGAATCATCCACTATAAGATAGGAACATAAATAATTTAATGGGTCAAAAATGATACACATAGTTCAATATTCTGCCATGGAGAGTGGTATGAAGGGGATGCTTTGTGAGAAACTGGCTGTTATGAATGGAATTTCAATTCTGTACAACCACTTATGACAACAAATTAGATATAACAACTATGTATTATTTTATTATACTACTTTGAAAGGGAGAAATAAAGTATATATAATGGACGAAAACTCAGATGCTAAAGTCATACACACCATAAGTCCAATGCTGGTTTGATTTAGGAAACTAAGAGTGAGTCCCAATATTAGTCTAGCATTGTTATAAAGTCTAGAATCCATCTTGGTTGAAGACTGTCTGAGTGCAAATCTTGCCTCTGCCACTTACTAGCTGCAGAAATTAGAGCATGTTACTTAACATTTCTATACTTCATTTTCTTCATCTTTAAAGTGAGGACATAATTATAAATATATCTAGTAAGGTTGTTAAGGATTAATTAAAATAATGAAGTTGACGTATGTGTATTGCTGAACATAGTATGCAGGACAGAGTAAACAACATAAATTAGCTATGGTTATCACCATTATATCCATGCTCATTGTAATAAATCAAATATAAATTAAGCTAAAACATACAAATGTTGAGTAAATTTTTTTAAAAACTCAGAAGATGGCTAAAACTCTAATTATAAATGCCATGTGTTCATTAAAGTGAGTCTCATAAACTCACTTTTAAAATGACAATGGATTTCTTATAAAATGAATACTTTTAGCAGATTTGAACTTTCATCTTTCATAATTTGCTCAAATTCTTGAAGGTTCTAATATTTTATTAGTGATTCTAAAACTACCAATTATTTTGTTTTAAACAGAGTAAGCAAAAAAAAAATCTACATACAAAGTCAAAAGACATCAAAACAGATTCTGACAAAATCTATTTTCAAATATTAGGAGTATAAAATAAATATATGTATATTTGAGAGGTAAAGAGATGAGGAGAGAAGCAAAAAGTAACAGAGAAAACTGTGGGAGTGAGATTCAGTAATTACTTAGTGACCAGCAATCCTGCTCCTAGGAATTTACCCTGAAGAGACATGTCTACAATATAAAACAACACACACATGAGTATTGAGACATTATTTGTAATGGCAAAATGTTGAAAACAACCTAAAAGTCCACCCATAGCAGATCAGTTGATTAAACTATAATAAATCCTCTCAAATACTGTAAAACCACCAAAAACCCCAAACAAAACAACAAAGAAAAGCTCTATGCAACAATTCCTCTATATAAAGTAATATCCAAGATATTATGCAAAGTTCCTTTTTCATAAACCAAGGCTTAAAAGCATATACACTTTGCTTAAAACAGAAAATAACATATATTATTTTAAAACATGAGAGTGGCCAGGTGAGGTGGCTCACACCTGTAATCCCAGCACTTTGGGAGACCAAGGTGGAAGAATTGCTTGAGCCCAGGAGTTTGAGACTAGCCTGGGCAACACTGTAAGACCTTATCTCTAGAAAAAAATTTAAAAATTAGCTGAGTGTTGAGGTACACTCCTGTAGTTCCAGCTACTCAGGAGGCTGAGGTGGAAGAATCGCCTAAGCACAGGAATTGGAGGTTGTAGTGAGCTGTGATTGTGCCACTGCACTCCAGCCTGGGCAAAAAGAGTAAGACCCCCAACTCAATACTAATATTAATACTACTAATAAAAATAATACAAAAACATAGGGGGAAATCTTCAGGACATTGGATTTAGCAATGATTTCTTAAGTATGACACCAAAAGTACAAGCAACAAAGGCAAAAATAGAAAAATGTGACTACATCAAACGTAAGAATTTCTGCACTACAATGGAAATAATCAACAGAGTGAAAGGCAATTTCTTTCCAAAAATATATCTGATGAGAGGTTAATATCCAGAATATACAAGGAACTTCTAAGACTCAACAATGAATAGAAAACAAAATGATTTAAAATGGACAAAGGGAGGGGTACACCTTATCAACACGGGTGCCTGCATAATGAACATTTGTATTCCTAACCCTGAATTGTACCCTGCATCTTTAAAATAAAATAAAATAAAATAAAATGGACAAATGACTTGAATAGACATTTCTCCAATGATGATACATAAATAGCCAATACTCACATGAAAAAATGCTCAACATCACTAAACATCAGGAAAATGCAAATCAAAACCACAAAGAGATAGCAACTCACATTGACCAGCACGGCTACCATCAAAAGAGCAGAAAATAGCAAGTGTTGGTGAGAATGTGGAGCAGTGAAACCTTGTTCAGTGTTAGTGGAAATGTAAAATGGTGTAGGCACTATGCAAAACAATATGGAGGTTCTTATACAAAAATTAAAAATAAAATTAACACATGATTAAGCAATCCTACTTCTGGGTATATAACCAAAAGGATTCAAGGCAGGTTCCCAAAGAGATATTTACATTTGTACATCCATGTTCATTGCAGCATTACTCACAATGGTCAAGAGGTGGAAAAAACCCAAATGTGCATCAACAGACAAATAGATAAAGAAAATATGATATACACGTATAACAGAATATTATGGAGCATTAAAAAAAGATGGAAATCTTTTCACATGCTACAACATAGATGAACCTCAAGGACATGCTAAGTGAAATGAGGTCTGTCACAAAAGGACACAAAAAAGGACACATATGATTCCACTCATACAAAGTATCTGAAGTAGTCAAAATCATAGACATTGAAAGTAGAAAGGTGGCTATGAAGGATTAGAGGAAGGAAAGAAGTGAAATTAGTATTTAATGAGTTAAGCGCTAAAAGATGAAAAAGTTCTAGAGATCTGTTCTGCAATAATGTTCATATACTAAACACTACTGAGCTGTACATTTAAAAATGGTTATGATGGTAAAATTAATGTTACCACAATAAAAAAAGAGCATATATATTCTTTCCTTGAACAACTAGTCTCAAGTGATCCTTTCACCTCAGTCTTTGGAGTAGCTGGGCCTATAGTAGCTGGGCCTATAGTAGTGTGTCTACTTTAAATATATATATGTATATTTAAAGTAGACACACATATTCTTCAGAACATACAGTTTGTTAATACTGTAAACAAAACACAGGAATAGTAAACTAGAAATGAAAGAAATATGCTTTTCTATGATGGTGAATGGATATGGAGCATAAAAGTAGGGATAGAGCTGGGCTCGGTGGCTCAGGCTGTAATCCCACGCTTTGGGAGGCTGAAGTGAGTGGATTGCCTGAGCCCACGGGTTCAAGACCCGCCTGGGCAACTTGGTGAGACCTCATCTCTACAATAAATAAAACAAAATTAGCTGGGCGTGGTAGCGTGCGCCTGTAGTTTCAGCTACTTGCAAGGCTGAGGCAGAAGTATCGCTGAACCCAGCAGGTCGAGGCTGAGGTGGCCGGGAGCGTGCCACTGCACTCCAGTCTGGGCGATAGAGTGAGACTCCAACTCAAAAAAAAAAAAAAAAAAAAAAAAAGTAGGGATAGAAGAAAGATTTCTCTGAAGATACCAATTCATGTAAATTTGATTTTTGCAATGTTAAAATTTTGCATTTTCATATGATAAAATTAAATTTGAATTTTGAATTCAATTAGAAAACAGATAATGAAGTTGAATACAATAAAAACAAGAAATCAAGGAAAATACAAAATTATAACAAACACATAGAAAAAATATTTATCTTCTTCTGTTAGCTTTGGGATTGGATTGTTCTTGTTTTTCCAGTTCTCTTTGGTGTGACATTAAGCTGTTTACTTGAGATCTATTTTCTTGATGTATGCAAATGCTATAAACGTCTCTCTTGGCATAGTTTTAATAGCATACACTTTGGTATAATGTGTCTTTCTTTTTATTTGTTTCTAGGAATTTCTGTCTTGATTTCTGTGTTCACCCAAAAATCATTCAGGAGCATGCTGAGTGGTATGTTGAGTCTATTAATGTTCAAGTTAGACATTGATATGTGAGGGTTTATTGTTGTTAAGAAGTTCAAAGCTTTGTGGTTGATTTGTATGGTCTGTAATCTATGTACTTACATGTGCTTTTGTGATGGTTGGTATCATTTTTTGTTTGTTTGTTTTTATGTTCAGAACTCCCTTAAGCATCTCTAGAGGTAGCATAGTCCCCTAGGGATTGCTTGTCTGAGAATAATTTTAATTCTCCTTCATTTATATAGCATAGTTTGGTGGGGTAAGAGATTCTTAGCTGGCATTGTTTTTGTTAAGAACATTAAAACTGCCTTCCCCCACACTCCCAGCACATTATAAGGGCCATTTATCATGACCAGGTAGGCTTCATTCCTGGGATGCAAGGCTATTTCAACATATGAAAATCAATAAGTGTAATTCACCACACAGATGTAAAACCCAGAACTCCATGATTATCTAAATAGATGTAGAAAAAGTGTTTGATAAAATCCAGCATCCCTTCTTGATAAAAACCCTCAAGTACCTAGGCATCAAAGAACATTCGTCAAAATAATAAAGAGTTATTTATGACAAACCCACAGTCAATATCATACTTAACAGACAGAAGCTAGAAGCATTCCCCTTAAGAACTACTACAAGAACAAGATGCTCACTCTCACCACTCCTATTTAACATAGTACTGGAATTCCTAGCCAGAGCAATCAGGCAAGAGAAAGAATTTAGAGGTATCCAAATAGGAAATGAGAAAGTTAAAATCTCTCTCTTCACAAATGATATGATTCTATACCTAGAAAACCCAAAATTCCACCAAAAAACTCCTAACACTGATAAACAACTTCAGTCAAGTACTGGGATACAAAATCAACACTCAAAAATCAGCTGCATTTCAATGCACCAACAACAAGCAGGCTGAAAACCAAATCAAAAACACAATTTCATTCACGATAGCCACACACACACACCCACACCCACCCACCCACACACACACACAATTAAATACCTCAGAATACATCTAACCAAAGAGGTAAAAAAATCTTTAAAATGAGAACTACAAAACACAGCTTAAAGAAATTAAAGATGGTTGAACGCAGTGGCTCAAGCCTTAGAATCCCAGCACTTTGGGAGGCAGAGGCAAGAGGATTTCCTGAGCTCAGGAGTTTGAGACCAGCCTGAGCAACATGGCGAGACCTTGTCTCTACAATAAATCAAAAAATTAGTCAGGTGTGGTGGTACATGCCTGTAGTTCCAGCTACTTGGAAGACTGAGGCGGAAGGATGTCCTGGCCCAGCAGGTCGAGGCTGCGGGCTGTGAGCATGCCACTGCACTCCAGCCTGGGCAACAGAGTGAGACTCTGACTCAAAAAAAAAAAAAGAAGAAGAAGAAGAAATT